CTTATCTATCTATCTATCTATCTATCTATCTATCTATCTATCTATCTATCTATCTATCTCAGTATATATTGGTTTGGTTTGTTTTATGACATATCAACTTCAATGGGTTATTTAATGCCGACAAGATTTTTATTGCTGGTAAGATTTCTTATCTATCTATCTATCTATCTATCTATCTATCTATCTATCTATCTATCTATCTATCTATCTATCTCAGTATATATTGGTTTGGTTTGTTTTATGACATATCAACTTCAATGGGTTATTTAATGCCGACAAGATTTTTATTGCTGGTAAGATTTCTTATCTATCTATCTATCTATCTATCTATCTATCTATCTATCTCAGTATATATTGGTTTGGTTTGTTTTATGACATATCAACTTCAATGGGTTATTTAATGCCGACAAGATTTTTATTGCTGGTAATATTTCTTATCTATTTCTATCTATCTATCTATCTATCTCAGTATCTATCTATTTGTTTTATATATATTGGGTTATTTAATGCCGACAAGATTTTTTGTTTTATGACATAATCAACTTCATCTATCTATCTATCTATCTATCTATCTATCATCTATCTATCTATATATATATTGGTTTGGTTTGTTTTATGACATATCAACTTCAATGGGTTATTTAATGCCGACAAGATTTTTATTGTTGGTAAGATTTCTTATCTATTTATCTATCTATCTATCTATCTATCTATCTATCTATCTCAGTATATATTGGTTTGGTTTGTTTTATGACATCAACTTCAATGGGTTATTTAATGCCGACAAGATTTTTATTGCTGGTAAGATTTCTTATCTATCTATCTATCTATCTATCTATCTATCTATCTCAGTATATATTGGTTTGGTTTGTTTTATGACATATCAACTTCAATGGGTTATTTAATGCCGACAAGATTTTTATTGCTGGTAAGATTTCTTATCTATCTATCTATCTATCTATCTATCTATCTATCTATCTATCTATCTATCTATCTCAGTATATATTGGTTTGGTTTGTTTTATGACATATCAACTTCAATGGGTTATTTAATGCCGACAAGATTTTTATTGCTGGTAAGATTTCTTATCTATCTATCTATCTATCTATCTATCTATCTATCTATCTATCTCAGTATATATTGGTTTGGTTTGTTTTATGACATATCAACTTCAATGGGTTATTTAATGCCGACAAGATTTTTATTGCTGGTAAGATTTCTTATCTATCTATCTATCTATCTATCTATCTATCTATCCTATCATATCTATCTTTTTTATCTATCTATCTCAGTATATATTGGTTTGGTTTGTTTTATGACATATCAACTTCAATGGGTTATTTAATGCCGACAAGATTTTTATTGTTGGTAAGATTTCTTATCTATCTATCTATCTATCTATCTATCTATCTATCTATCTCAGTATATATTGGTTTGGTTTGTTTTATGACATATCAACTTCAATGGGTTATTTAATGCCGACAAGATTTTATTGCTGGTAAGATTTCTTATCTCATTCTATCTATCTATCTCTATCTCATCTATCAATATTTAATGCTTTTATCTATCTATCTATCTATCTATCTCATCTCAGTATATATTGGTTTGGTTTGTTTTATGACATATCAACTTCAATGGGTTATTTAATGCCGACAAGATTTTTATTGCTGGTAAGATTTCTTATCTATCTATCTATCTATCTATCTATCTATCTATCTATCTATCTCAGTATATATTGGTTTGGTTTGTTTTATGACATATCAACTTCAATGGGTTATTTAATGCCGACAAGATTTTTATTGCTGGTAATATTTCTTATCTATCTATCTATCTATCTATCTATCTATCTATCTATCTCAGTATATATTGGTTTGGTTTGTTTTATGACATATCAACTTCAATGGGTTATTTAATGCCGACAAGATTTTTATTGCTGGTAAGATTTCTTATCTATCTATCTATCTATCTATCTATCTATCTCAGTATATATTGGTTTGGTTTGTTTTATGACATATCAACTTCAATGGGTTATTTAATGCCGACAAGATTTTTATTGCTGGTAAGATTTCTATCTATTCATCTATCTATCTATCTATCTCAGTATATATTGGTTTGGGTTTGTTTTATGACATATCAACTTCAATGGGTTATTTAATGCCGACAAGATTTTTATTGCTGGTAAGATCTATCTCTATCTCAGTATATTTTATGACTATCTATCTATCTATCTATCTATCTCTATCTCAGTATATATTGGTTTGGTTTGTTTTATGACATATCAACTTCAATGGGTTATTTAATGCCGACAAGATTTTTATTGCTGGTAAGATTTCTTATCTATCTATCTCTATCTATCTATCTATCTATCTATCTCTATCTCAGTATATATTGGTTTGGTTTGTTTTATGACATATCAACTTCAATGGGTTATTTAATGCCGACAAGATTTTTATTGCTGGTAAGATTTCTTATCTATCTATCTATCTATCTATCTATCTATCTATCTCAGTATATATTGGTTTGGTTTTGTTTTATGACATATCAACTTCAATGGGTTATTTAATGCCGACAAGATTTTTTATTGCTGGTAAGATTTCTTATCTATCTATCTATCTATTCATCTATCTCTATCTATCTATCTATCTATCTATCAGTATATATTGGTTTGGTTTGTTTTATGACATATCAACTTCAATGGGTTATTTAATGCCGACAAGATTTTTATTGCTGGTAATATTTCTTATCTATCTATCTATCTATCTATCTATCTATCTCAGTATATATTGGTTTGGTTTGTTTTATGACATATCAACTTCAATGGGTTATTTAATGCCGACAAGATTTTTATTGCTGGTAATATGTCTTATCTATCTATCTATCTATCTCAGTATATATTGGTTTGGTTTGTTTTATGACATATAAATTTCAATGGGTTATTTAATGCCGACAAGATTTTTATTGTTGATAATATATATATATATATATATATATATATATATATATATATATATATATATATATATATTTTTTTTTAATATATTGCTGGTAATATTTTTCCTTCAAAAATTTATTTTTAGGAATATTTTTTCTTCAAAAATCTATTGCTGGTAATATTTTTCTTAAAAAATATATAGCTGGTAATATTTTTTTTTCCAAAAATATATAGCTGTTTGTATTTCTGGTAATATTTTTTTGTTGTTAAAAGTATTGCCGGTAATAATTTCCCATCAGAAACTTATTACTGGTAATATTTTTTTTTTTAGAAAGTATTTCTGGTATTAAAATTTATTTTTACATGTTCATAGTATTTTGACCCCAGTTTTGACGTTAACTATTTGCCCATAACTGGGACCCCCTAACAGGTGCTACCACCTCGGTGAAGGGCTGACTTGGGAACACCAGCAGTTAAGAGGTGGACCCACGCTCCTCAGAGCCTCCCGAGCAGGGGTCTTGCTGTCGGATGTAGTTTATCGTCTTACCCAGGACGCGGATGTAGTTTATTGTATACATGATTAAGAGCAACAAAAGGATAGGAAGATGGGGAGATCCATGATCGCCTATATCTTGAAGAGATACGAAACATAGAATCTTATATTTTGTTAGACTGATGTATAATGTTCAGTATACTGAAGAATCTCTAATACCCAAAGAGTGTTCAGGTCAAAACGTACCTATTTGTTTTTTTTTTGGGGGGGGAGGGGGGTTGTTTGGTTGTTTGTTAAAGAAGCGATCGTCTTAAGCTAAACTCCATTAAACTAAGATCTTTTCGGCAACTACTATCTTTGGCATCAACTGAGTTAGCTTGGATCTGTACTCAGCGAACTTAAATTCAACATATTCCTAAAGGATCCATTATTTGAAATTTATTGAGTAAGAAACCAACTAACATCAAATGTATTTCCATAATTCCTTTCTTTCTTTCCCAAGAAAAACAAGGAAAATAAGTAAAGAAAAACGCGCAAAGCATTAGAGAAAGCTAAGCTATATGTCGCAAGCGGTTCTTTAAATATGTTTCCCTTCAACTTTCAATCTGTTTGCCCATAAAAAGAAAAGAGAAAAAAAAATATTACAATGTATAAAGTAGAATTATCATAGGGTCTCTAAGATTGTTGTTTTCAGTGACTTACGTTGCACAAGTCTTAAAACAAAAGAAAATTAGTAATAAATCTTTAAAAGAAAAAAGGTTGGTAGCTTACTTCATCACGTGACTAAACGGCCATCTTTGAAGAAAACAAAAACAAAATGACCGTTTCCTTACTTGACTTGCAAAGTCTCTGATTTCTACCTTTCATTTTTTTTTTTTTTTAATATAAAACTGAAAGGTATTTCGTTTTTCGGTAAACAATGCCAAACGTAAAGCGGGGGTGTTTTTTTAACATATATATATATATATATATATATATATATATATATATATATATATAACTTCATTGCTCCAACGTATGACTATGGGGCCTTTTATCAGAATCGGCTTAAGAGGAAGAATCGTAAAGAATGGGAAAAGACGTCAAAAGAAAATTGTAGAGAGAAAAAGAAAGAAGAAAGGCTTTAAGTTTCCAATCTTAGAACTGAATGGGGATCGAAGCATTTTATTCTGAAGAAAGCTAGGAGATTTCAAAAATGTTTCGGGATTTGCATAATTGAGTCGGTTAGATGACATTAGGTCGAAAAAGAAATGTACAGAATATCATGAAAAGAGGATTGCTACTTGTAATTGATTGTAACTGTCTCTTAGCGTATTCGTGTGTTTAAGTTAAATATTTTTTTTGTTTTGTTTTTATATGCGTATTTTATTGTTTGAAGTTTTGAATTCTCTTTTGAAAACTGGTTTCAGTGTGTCTATATTCTCCAACGTATATGGGTGCATTTGTGAACAGAAACATCGAATAAAAAAAAAAAAGATTGCAGAGAGCGAAGAATGGTTGGCAAAAGAATACAAGCAAAAGTAGCGAAAGATAAACAGAATAAGTCGTGATACTTAAAAAGATGAAGGTATAATGCTAATCGTAAAAGAAAGTAAGAAAGAATGAAAGTAAGAAAGAATGAAAGAAAGAAAGAAAGAAAGAATGAAAGAAAGAATGAAAGAAAGAAAGAATGAAATAAATAAACCTAAAAAGAAGGAAAATGAAAGTATGTTTGAAGAAAAAGAAAAAGGGGTATAGCGCTGAGGCTAAAAAAAAGAAAGGTCTACTGCGATAAAAGAATGAAAAGAAGCTTTCAAGAAAGAAAAGAAAAGAAAGAAAGAAAGAAAGAAAGAAAGAAAGGATATAAGAGGAAGATTTAAAGCACAAAAAGTGCATGAGGCTGAATTAATGAGTGAAAGAAAGAAAAAAGGAAGAAAAGAAATGTGTAGGGCACAGAAAGAAAGAAAGAAAGAAAGAAAGAAAGAAAGAAAGAACGGCGTAGTGTACTGAAGAAAAAATGAACAGAAGAAAGAAACAAGGAAAATGAAAGGAAGTTTTCAAGAAAAAGAATAATGGCGGGCAAAGAAAGAAAGAACGAATGAAAAAAAGAACGAAAGAAAGAAAGACATGTGAAAGGCGCTGAAAAAAGGTGCAGTAAGCTGGAAGAAAGAAAGAAAGAAAGAAAGAAAGGGAAGCATAGTGCACTGAAGAAAAATGAAGAGAAGCTAAAAAAAGGAAAATGAAAGTACGTTTGAAGAAAAATCAAATGATAGACAAAGAAAGAAAGAAAGAAAGAAAGAAAGAAAGAAAGAAAGGTGTAGTGCACTGAAGAGAAATCGAGACAAGAAAAAAAGAAAGAAACAAAATGAAGGGAAATTTTCCAGAAAAATAAAAATGGAAGGAAATAAAAGAAAGAAAGCAAGCAAGAAAGAAAGATAACTAAACAGAATAAAGTGTCTGAAATTAAAGAGAAAACAGGAAATGAAATGGAAGGAAGATTAAAAACATGAAAAGTTCATGATGCTGAAAGAAAGAAAGAAAGAAAGAAAGAAAGAACAATGGTAATATAAAAGAAATTAACAAAATTAAGGAAAGACAGAAAAGGGATACCTACAGAAGAAAATGCATAGAAAGAAAGAAAGAAAGAAAGAAAGAAAGAAAGAAATTATAACACTTATAATAATGCCTTATTCAAAAATCAATTAATTCCTTAAATTAATATGTATGTATATATGTATGTATGTATATATGTATGCATATTGAAAGTGACGAATACAAACTGGCTTAGCGAGATATGACTCAGATAATGGCAGCGACTCGATTTCTAGCAAGGCCATTGCTTGATCCATCCTCAGATATGAGCAACGCGGATGTGGCGTTTTACTCCTGCTTGGGTATAATAAATGACTACTCTATGTGTGTGGCGTCTCTGGAGATTTTGGGTGTCTGCCCTACTTAGACAGACGTGAGATCAAATTTTGTAGCAAGATTTCCAGGAGAAATAAACTAAAGGCCCTTACAAATATCTAACTTCATTTTTTTCGAACACAAGAGGATTCTGTTCAAAGACTCTCTTAGAATTATGCACCGTTTTCCTCCAAGACGAGTGATCTAGAATTGCTGTGTGCCCAGTCATTTTGCATAATGTTGGCCTTCTTTAGTATCTTCGTTTTTTTTTGTTTGTTTTGTTTTTATGCCATATTTTTATTTTGTTGTTTTGAGGTTTTTGTTTCTGTTTAGAACAATATATAATCATTTTACTTGACATTTCATTTAATAAATATCTTTCAACTACGGATGTTACTTTTTTTTTCCAAAAAGGTCGAGACTTATATACCGAAAAATACAGTAACCGTGAAAAACGTCACTTATACGAATATGCTTTTTCCCGTTTCCGTAACCCGTTTATCGCTGCGTTCCTGAACAATTTTAACCCTTCGGCCTGAGCTCCTAAGTCAAAATTCGTAAATAACTGGTATGTAATGTTTCACGATACATATAAAAAAATAGTTACAAAAAATAAAGGGTGTTTCATTAAGACGGATTATATATAAGGGTGTTTCCTTAAGACGGATCAAAGTCAGCAGTAAATAAATCAGTGTTATTGGTGAAAATTTATTTATTTCTCTATTGGATCATGTTATTTAAGTCATGGCAATTATGTGTGAAAAATAATATCACCTAAATGTCCACCAAATCTGAAAGAAAAATAAAAAAAACTTTAGGCGCTTAAAATTAATTCACATTTAAAATCGGTCCAAGTTATTGGAACAGCCTTTATAAGAATTATACTTAGCAGGGAGAGGGTATGATTGCATTCCTTTATTTTATCGCCAGAATTGTTTCTTTTGTGTCCCAATCTACACAAATAAGACAGTCAATAGCAAAACACCACGTAAGTGTTTGCCTACTGTTCAACCGGTGACTGGGTATTAAGTCATTCTCTACCACGATTCAACCGGTGGCTGGGCATTACGTCATTTTTCTCTACGACCAGTAAAACGGTAGTCAGGTTTCAAAGGGTTAACAGTCACTACTACGGTTGGTTGAAGTTTATAAAAACAGTAACCCTGAAAAACGTCACTTATGCGAATGTGCTGTTTCTCGTTTCCTTAACCTTTTTATCCATGCTTTCCTGAACAATTTTAACTCTTCTGCCTGAGCTCCTGAGTCAAAATTCGCAAATAATAGTTATGCAGTGTTTGTTGGTAGATATAAAAATAGTTACAAATATATAACTTCCTGATTGATTCTGCACGCTACTTAGTAAAAGGAATCATTTTCTTTATCCAAAACATATGCACAAAACACAATGAAAAGGTGCGGGAATGTTGGTACAACGTTCGGTGACACCAGAATATTACAGCTTTTCTGACTGGCTCTTCAAAATAAGGCAACCAATAGCAAAACACGACGCAAGTGTTACCTACCGTTCAACCAGGGGCTGGGCATTGTTAGTTTTCTCGACCACTCAGGTCAGGGCTCAAAGGGTAAAGTAGCCTCTTTGCGAGCCAACATTGTTATTTGAAAGTGCTCTATATTAGATTCGTTTTGCGTCCGATGTTCAGATTTCTCAAAAGATTTATCTCCGTAGATTGAGAAAAGGGTTAATTTCGGGATTCGCTGTAGATTACTAGAGTGTACAATATAGTGCACAACAGAGTGCATAACGGAGTGCACGACAGAGTGCACAACGGAGTGCAAGACAGAGTGCACAACGGAGTGCACGGCAGAGTGCACGACAGAGTGCATAACGGAGTGCACGACAGAGTGCACAACGGAGTGCAAGACCGAGTGCACAACGAAGTGCAAGACAGAGTGCACGACAGAGTGCATAACGGAGTGCACGCCAGATTTCACAATGGGGTGCACGACAGAGTACATAACGGAGTCCATGACAGAGTGCACAACGGAGTGCAAGATAGAGTGCACAACGGAGTTCACGACAGAGTGCACAAGGGACAAAACGTTGTGATGACAACAACAAAGATGGGGACCATATTCTACATGTAAATACTGTAAATAATGATAGTTTGCGATGTTTATTTTTTTAATTTAAGAAATATAAAAACTCTCATGGGTCATAGGAAATATATAGCCTCAGAAACGAAACGTGTTATTCTATACTTACTGAGTGTTAGCAAAACAACATTACAAAAAAAATTGAACAGAGATAATAGAAAAATAAAAAAAATAAAACCATTACTGAGATAACAACAAAAATAATGTTTCAAGAATATAGCAAAACATATTTAAACAAGAAAAATGGATTTTCCATAAACAATATTTGATAAAGCTGGCGTTGTGAATGTAAATCGAGAGAGATGTAGAATATTAAAAAAATAGTTAAAAGCAAAAAATCAATCACATCCGAAATTGAAACGCATACACTGGCTGAAGAATTAAATGGAAACTTTTGCATAGCATATTTTACTATTCTAAAGCGACTTCGGATTTCGGAGTCACATTTTCCGTCGTCTCATTAAATCACTGTACTTGCTTGACTTTGGCATCTCCAATGTGTAGCTTACACTTTTGGACTGGGCCTCTTGTTGACAATTATACCTAGACAGCAATCAAACGAACAATTTGACATGCATCATTAAAATAGATATTCATGAAATGGCGTCTTCTTACTGCCAACTGTTCTTGATGTACACATTCTAGTACACTTTCGTAGATTTAGCTCTGGATCTATTTCGATATGCATTGAATTGACTTTATCGCAAACACCTATGTCCTGAAGACATCTAGCACCACAGACAAGGGACGTTTACAGATACTACTGAATGGTCAGAGTTGCCAAGACGACAGAGCTGCTTAGTACAACATGAGTCAGTGTTAAAGATAAAAAAGAGACCTAGAAGAGAAACGTGCCTGTCAGAGTTACTGCGGAAACGCGTGAGGAAATTGCTATAGTGGAACACACCTATTCTATAGTTAATAGACTCTCTCACCTATAATAAGTAGGAGTAGTAAGAGTAACGAGTGAGTCGCTGAGGAGTCAGTTGATGCCGGACGACCGTTAGTCGGATACTAAAGTGTCAGCGACTACAACTAGATTTCTCTGCGTTATACTTATTATATGAAGTTCCTAACGTTTTTTTTACGTCGAACCTATTTTAGGACCGACTTAGTACGAATACAAGCCTCCACTGTGAAATCACTCTACAACAGAAATCCAGTACTTGCGTGAGAGATTGAGTGATGGAGAAATTCAGGGTTTGGATTCCAGCGAGGTCAGTGACTGAGTGTTTAAGCCACCTGGCATAGTGGACATTAAAGTCATCGAACGCAAATATATTGGTAAACGGGTGTAGGCAGATGGACTTTTCTATATTATTGGAAATGTAGTCTGGCACTCCACAGTCATGAGAGGAAGGGAAACGGTAGAGAATGAAAGATAGCTGACACAGTTTAGTAGAGAGAGACGGAGACACATGTAAAAATGGTTTATAAGATTCAAGAGAGTTCTCTAGTCAGTAGATGTTCGCGGAATCAAACTCCCAAGTAATGCATGAGGACATTAGAGTTCTTCCTAAGGAAAGGAATGATGTCAGGAAACTTTTAGAAGAGGAGCGATTCCACACTGCAGACTTTGGTACGAATACCACGAATGTTGAAGAGAGAAAGGCTTAGGTGTTTTGTTTTTTTTTTTTGGCTGGGGGGTTGGTTTAGTTTATATCTTTGGTTACTTACAGCTATGATGCGTTATTTTGGTAAGGGAAGGCTTAGGTTAGTAGCAGTAGTCGGTCGTCTAATGTAACATGCGAGGGAAGGCAACTGGCGAAGACTGTGTGGGCTCGGGGTTGCCCACTAGAGGTGCTTGCAAGAACAATCTTCCATGCGCGATATGGCACTGCAAAATCCCCGATATTATGCAACTGTTCATCGGAACAGCCTGTCAAGACAACAAGCAACAGCTCGAACTCCGAACTTACCAGTCGGGAATAGCAACCAGAAAACTGCAAACACGGTACCCTCAATATGACAAGACGTCACCACCATATGCATATATCACAAAAAGTCATGACAGCACCATTATTAAGTTCTAAGAAAAGAAAACGAACAGGGAACTCCTTCCTAAACAGGGAACAAAGGATGTACCTCTACTGTTCAAGAGAATGAAAAGGAGGATGAACTAGGTGAAAGGGAAGTCTATCTACTCCTATGAAAAAAGGTCTGGGTTTGAAGTCATTGCCAAGAATGGGTTTCTGATGACTTATTTGGAGAGTTAGTCTGAAGCCCACAGACTTTTCTTTTACTAATGCTACCTAAATATTCATATATACAGGGTACATGGATAAATTTTGGTCTAAAATACGCAAAAATTAAAATAACATTGGCATTTCATTTTAAAAGATATATTTACCAAAATTACACAAAAATATCTTGAAATATAATACAGTAAATTTATTTAACAAACTCGCCACTCAATTCAACCACGGCCTCCAGATGACTTCGGAATCTCCTGCAATTCTTCCGAATGGTCTGCTCGTTTAAGTTGGTGAATGCTACCATAATCCTCACCTTCAATTCAATGAGAGACCAAAAACTCCTTGAAATTTTTTGGCGTTACAAGAAGTTTCTGGTCTCTCACTAAACTGTGCCCCACACATAATAAGCAATAAGGTTCTGTGTGGGGAGCTAGGTGGCCAAATGTAAGGGGTGGTATGGTCGCAGAAATTGTCTGACAACCATTACTTGGTTTTCCTGCTTGTCCTGTTGCCAGGCATAGTGTCTTCCAGCACCCATCCCTTTGACCCAGGGTAGTACTACCCTTTCTTGTTCCAAAGGATGAATGTGCGTAGGTCCGAATCAACGAAGTTTATGCATTATGATAAATGCTTAAATTCTTGGGTTTAAATATAAGCTCACATCATCTTCACGGCCAAAATCCGTTGAAACACTGGTTCCCGTACGATCACCGAAGTTAAGCCTGGCCAGTACCTACATGGGTGACCGATTGGGAATACCAAATGCTATAAGCTTGGATGTGCGATGTGATGTACAGGATAATGGCTCTGAATTGTTAATCGAGTTCCAATTCTCATTGGGTTCATTGCATTCACCATTGGGAAAGGTATGAGGCTACCTCTTATCAAAATGGTTTGTTTGTGATACTATAACGTGATTCTTTTCCATTCTCAGATTGAAAAGAAAAGAAAATCAGCAGAATACCTCCCTAATGATTTACAGAACCGGTTCTTGGAAATTTGGGATGCCATTATTGGACGTAAGGGCACCATATTTCATTTGTGCCATAACAGCAGTGTTACGTCTAGGGTAAGATACACTGAAAGAACCGAAACCTTGTATGGCTAATTTTGAATTGTGGCATTTCATAAGTCTATACTATATGCCGCCTCAAGGCATGAAAGCCGAACAATTTCTTTTTAACTCCTAGTTGCAGAAAGATGGGTCCATGCCTTTTCCAAGATTATGAGCACGAAGTGAACGAAACAGAATCAATAGGGAATTGAACTCCACGCGCCTAATTCACTTTCCATGTCACCTATCCGAGCCTTCGTGTTAGGAGGCCATAGTTTTATCCATAAGCAAGAATTCTGTACTAGAGGGGCATAAATATTCCTAAGCTTGACCAAGAACTCGTTAAAATAATCCGATGTTTGGTCAGTTATGCAGATTTCGCTAAATGGGAACAGTGGCGGCCTTTTCAGTACACCCTGCTTAATGTTATATATTGCAAGTTCGATCCCGACAAAAATCAAAACAATAAAGTCTATTTGTTTTTGTATTTCCACGTCGTATTCACAGATCGCGACATCTATCAGAGAGGTGAAATTTAAATTTGTATTATTGCATTATTCCAAAATTTTAACACATCAGCAGATAGCTTTTAATATCAACAACTGAACACAAATAACTATTAGCTAAACATAATAGTAATTAATATAACATATCAGCCATAACTACAGGTAAAAGAATGTCGTTTTTGATAAAAGTTTTTAAAAAATGACCATAATTACGTAAAAAATGCGTATATTGTCGAAAATTTCTTTTTCCACAATATACACCCCTGTGCAAATTAATTGAAACAAAACGAATAATTCCGTTATTATTTACTTTTTTTTTCGTATTTTTCCAATGAAACATGACTCAGTGCATATGTTAGTACTTCATCTGTCCATTCCACGAAGTCTTTCCTTGCAGATTGACCACAGATTATCGATTGGATTTAAATCAGGAGAGTTTCCGAGCCAGTCTATAGTACTTTGATTTGCTCACTGGTAAAGCTTGCAACGTTACAATTCTTGTACGCTTCCTTGGAGTAACGTCCATTGCAGAAAATGGCCGTAGGACAACTAATCGACAGTAGAAACAGTAGTGTCTGGGCGTGATGAAAATCTGATGACGCAATATTTTTTCAAAGTCAAACAAATTTCATCATACACACCAAAAATAGATTCATATTACTCCACACCACTGTCAATGAGCTAATCTGAGGAAAAAATAGAAATCGATTGCACCCTGTCACTCCAATGGGTCTAAAACTGACTGAATGGTGAAAGAAAGGAAGTTAAAGCCGTTGTTTCAATTATTTGCACAAGGATGTAGCTATTTGTGCTATGTTATAATGCTTATTAACTAAACAATAATAATACTGAATATTTTTTTTTAAACATTAAAGTATATTTAATCACATCTACTTGTTAAAGTATTAAAGTATATTTAATCACATCTATATCGCGATCTGCAAATTAAAATGTTCTATTGTAAAATCTCTAAAGATTATCTTATGCAACAGGTACGTTGAGATTCTTGTGAGTGAAAAGAATCCTTAAATTGACCTCAAAATTTAAAGTTTTTTTTTC